GAGAAGGCAGAGGGAGCCCTGGTCACACGTGGTCAGGGTGTCGTTTGTGACCTTGACCAGAGCAGGGTCAGCACGAAACCCGATTGGAGGGGCTCTTGGAGGGAGTGGGAGGAGAGGAAAGAGCGAAACTGGGAGGCAACGGCTCTCTCAAGGACCTTGAATAGAAAAGAGAGATTTGAGATGAACCGGTAGCTGGATAGCTGTGATGGGTCATGGGAAGGTTTCTTCAGGGTGGGGGTGATAATGGCTGCTTTGAGGGGGGAAGGAACAGTGCCAGATGACAGGGAGATGTTAATGATGTCGGCGAGTAGTGGGGCAAGGAGGTGGAGCTGGGATTTAAGGAGAGAGGGGGATGGAGTTCAGGGAGCAGGTGGTGGGCTTCATGGAGGTTACGGTGGTGAAGACAGAGGAAGGGGTGACAGGTTCAAAGGTGTGAAGGAGGGATGGGTAATTGTCGGATGGGTAGTTGTGTGGGGTGCGTGTAGGGAGGGGGTGGAAGTTGGGAGGGCAGTGGCAGCTGAGCGGATTCCCTCGATTTTGGACTCGAGGAAGTCCAGCATTTTCTCGCAGTGAGAGTCAGAGAAAAGAATCTGCGAGGTGTGTCAGGGAGGGCGGAGGAGCCGGTTGGTGGTGGAGAACAGGAGCCTGGGGTTGCCCTTCGCCTCCAGGATTAACCTGGAATAGAAGGATGATTTGGCTGAGGTGAAAGCTGAGCGGTAGGACTTGATGAGGTCCAGCCAGGAGTGCCGGTGGACCATTAGACCAGATTTGAGCTGTGAGTTCGGCAGACCTCACCTGGCCCTTAAGCGAGCAGAGGTGGCTGGTGAACCAGGGTGAGCATCAGGAATAGGGGGGCAAGGGCATCGAGTGTGGTGGAGAGGGCGTTGTGGAGAAGAGTAAGCGCAACGAGTGGGTTGGTGCGAGTGGTGGGCCAGAAGAGGAGTTCAGAGGACTTTAGGGCAACAGAAAGGGATTGCGGGGAGATCTTCTTCCATGGGCGATACTGTTGGAATTGTATGCTGAAGCAGACTATGGCTGTGCCATTGCAACTCGGTTAACACTTCGTACTTAATTGATTGATTTTTAAATTGATTTGTAAATAGCAAATCTTACAATCTGCAATATCCAAATCACAATTTGTCAGAGGCTGGCCAACTGGAATCCTGTTCCAATGCCAATCTCAGACCCAATTGCCACAAAGCCAGATTGCTGTCAAAAAAGGCTGTTGCCCAGAAGATAATGCTCTCCTCAACAGCTCTTTGCTGTTGAGGGTCTTTGTAGACAGTAAGAGATTTTCCTTCTCCAAAAATTCATCTCAACATGTCCCTATAATTTATATGGGGGTGTCCTGATCCACATTTTATTTAAGATTCCTCAACTATTATGGCTACATCTGTATTTTCTAACCACAAATTCAATATATTCTGTTCTGACGAAGGGTCGTGGACCCAAAACATTGACTCACTTTCCTTTCTTCATAGATGCTGCCTGACCTGCTGAGAGTTCCCAACGATTTCTGTTTTTGTTTCAGATTTCCAGCATCTGCAATATTTTGCATTTTGTTTCAGTATATTCTGATGAAACAAATGCAAATTCAAGGATTATTGCTGTTGAGATCAAAGGTTCTCTCGTAAGACAGTTTGAGGATGCCCTGGCAAGGTTAATTGCTGTGTATTTTTTTAATATAAATTTCTCTTCCCTGATCTACTGTTATCTCTCCAAGACACAGCTCGGCCTCCAAGACCTCAACTAAGAAGCCATTCGTTATGTGTAAATCTAAACGGATCATTAGGATGCTATGCTACAGCATGCAACCCAGTCACATCTGATTCTAATTCTCACCTAACCTCAACCGCACTTAATGTGAGTAAATTAATTTAAAAAAACAATTTGTATAGGGAAGCAGTTGCATCAGGTCTCAGAGAAGGGATGTATTCTTCAATTGTAAAGGTATTCATGGCAAGGAGGGTATTGGTATCACAATATATCTTGCTAAATTGTCCAAAATGAGTATAGATTCCATAATGCAAGGCTCATTAGCATTAGCCAAGATAATGGGATAAAGAAATAAATCTAAAAGTTGCACTATGCCCCTAATTAACTCCCCCCCCCACCCCAATCAGCTGCGCATCAATCATGATCTGCAACGGCAGGAGCCGGCGGTTGCTAAGGACGCGGTTGGTAAGAGACACGCTTGCCTTCTTGACAGTCTGCAGCAACAGCCGGTATTATTTCCACTCTGAGACCTCCCAACTACCGACTCCTGCCGCTGCCCTGGGAGGACGATCACCAGGGAGGGAGCAGGTTTAGAACATTGGAAATGGTATCGGACTGGATAAAATTAACTGCCAATGCCAATGCTTGTTGGACCACAGTGCTCCAGATTAAAAATAATCATACACTCCAGAGTTTTTAAATCGGATCTTTCTGTGTGTACACTGGCTGCTACATTGGCTGATAGTCACATTTGGCAATTATGTAATGTTGATGTATAAAGGACTATAAAAATGCACTTTTTCCCCTTACATCATAAAATTGCATTGCCCCAAGGGGAGAGCAACACATCAGAAGGGGCAGAGATACTCTTCTCTTTCCATCTATCATCACCTTTTGTTATTTCCTTGTAAACTTGAACAGGATCCTGCCAAGATGACTCGGGTCTGAAATGCTTTACGCTATCCAGCGCCTTGGGTCGTCTATGGCACTATACAAATGTAATCTTCTTGTTGTTGTTGTGTAGAAGCACATCCTAAACAGTGCATACTTTTTCTGGCATGGCTCAAGTCCTACAGCTATCTGTTAAGCTGTCCTGCCTGGGACACATTAACTTTGTGCTGGCTTGATACAGTTACACTTGATGTTCAGATTAATATGGAAAGCACTGCATCAACTCTACAGAGATTCCTGGTGATTGGTTGCTCAAGTTTGATTCTGCTGCAGGAGCCCTCTTGCTTAAATGAAACAAAAGACATTTCACCAGGATTTACGTAATAACACGTATAGGACTTTATGTTTTGCCATTTGTGGAGTCCTGTAGCTCAGTGGTTAGAGCACTCACTTTGCAAGCGAGACACCTGGGTTCAATTCCCGGCAGAGGGCGAAACCTTGGGCAAGTTTCCTTACTCCACACAGAGCCTAATAATAATCCCTCCAAAAATAAAACAATAATAAATTGGTCATTTTCAATCTGCGACTGTTTGTGGGACATTGCTGTGCGCGATTGGCTGCCGCGTTCGCCCACAAATATACAGTCAATTCACTTTACAGTGTGTTCTGTGAAGCGCTTTGAGACGTCCTCCCGACGTGAAAAGCGCTATATCAAATGCAAGGATTATTATTATATATATTAATTAACCTAGTTATGTCATTCAACTCAACCCTGACTTTGTGCTGGACTGTTTCTTTACTGTCACAGTTGAGGACGCTATTGAGTATTGCATTTGAGTTGGAAGAAGAGACAACATTTGCACTCAGAAACGTTTATTGGGTTTAAGGCCTCAAGGTCTTTCTTTGGGAAGACAATAGAGATTTACCCATTTTCCAAACAAGATTCTCACTATGCTTCATCTGTTGCAGTTGTCAACTATATCTGTGGAGCAAAACCTCCGATCTGCTGTGAAGATCATCAGTTGAAGTGATTCAGACACCCCTGGAATTTTGCATGACCTGATGACTACAAGGTGAAGTGTGTCTATCTTCATCATGTTCATCTCCACTGCGACTTATCTGTGGTAGCCCAGACAGTTTTCTAGTGCACAGACAGTTTTCTAGTGCACTTAAGTGTGCAAGAGGATACACAGGATCAAGAAATAACTCCAATCATGTTCCAGCCCAAAAGAGGCAGGTACATGACATTTAGGAAACTAAACATGAACATAACTTTTTAACCCTTTTTCGGTAAATTACCAATTACGTGCAAGTTACAAATACCAAGTATTCCACTTTCTCCACAGTTCAAAAATATAGGGATATTTTTAAAGCTAATTCTAATAAACATACCAATGCCTTACCAAGAAACATGCATCTCAAATAAATGTAATACATTGAAGTAAAAATACCCAGCTTGATAGTCAAATCATCAATAAGTATTCATTCTGCAATACAAACTGACAATTAGAACAATATTTTCAGCCAAATTATGACTTATCAGGTTAGCATATTTCCCAGTGTCAACATTCAGCACTCCCAGATGTTGAATAAAGCTGTTGTGTCCTAAAAGTGCATCTTGACCCCTGTCTCAAAAAAGCATCTTGTGCTGCATTGTTGCGATTCCTCTCCACCGCCCCCAACCCACATACACACACACACATACACATACACATACACACTGCCACATAGGCCAAACAAAAATGCTGAACATTTAAAGCAGACAAGTAGGAGCTATTGTATACGTGGAACTGTGATTTTACATTTGAAGGAAACTGGTACTTAGTACCATATGTAACCCACATATTTCTTCTACACCAACCTCAGTAAAGCAGCCTGGATAAATATTAATTTAAAATAACCTCAATTGAAGCCTGTTTGCTCAACAAAGCAGATGCTGGCAAAGGGAATTTCAGCAAAGGAATTTTCCTTCGTACTGTAGGTTCTACCTCCCATCCGTTATATGTTTAGTTCATCACAAGGTAACTGCACACAACACCAATGGTCGGAAGTAATATTCCAAAGAGACTCCTCCTGGTGAAATCACCAGAGAACATCCATTTGACTGAAGATAAGGGGAAAAAATGTTATTGCACTTACACAGATTCATTGGGGGAGGGCGGAGAATCACACACATCTGTAAGCCTTTACCATTCAGTGATTACAATGGTTAGAAAATGAATTTTTCACAGTACAAATTGGAACAGTTTACTTTTATCATTAACTGGACATAGTATTTTGTAAGGGCACATTCTAAAATAAGCTATTGAATTAACTGACAGTTTCAACAGTACCCTTCCCCCTCGGCCCTCTGTAAAGTAACAACAAATGGCACGAGAGCAGGTGTAAGTTACCGTACCTTTGCTGAGAGGGGGGCCGGGGCCGGTGCCGGGGCTGGTGCCGGGGCCGGTGCCGGGGCTGGTGCCGGGGCCGGTGCCGGGGCCGGTACCCGGGCTCTTCCTTTCTGGGGAGCCCTTGTGCTCTGGAGATTTCCCGTGTCTGACCCTCTGTGAAGAGTCTGCAGCCACTGGGGCCCATGGAGGGGAGTGTGAGGAGCAGGGGGCTGCCTCCTCCTGCTGCTGCTGTGTCCTGGTGCGGCTGCTCCGCAAGGAGGCCGCCTGCTGCTGTCGACCCGCCCCTCCTCCAGCCCTCGTCGGGCTGCCTCGCTTCAACTGGAACGGCACAGTGGCCCTCATGGGTTGCGGCCGACCACCACCACCACCGCCAACACCACCACCACCGCCACCACCACCGCCACCAACACCACCACCACCACCACCACCGCCGCCGCTCGTTGGCGAACCGTTCCGACGCGCCCTCTGAGCCATTTCCCCGTTGCCTCCCCCGCCCCACCAGCTCTATTTATAATTGTGGGAGAAGGGGGACGAGGACGTCGGGGGGCGAACAAAAAAATGGAAGGTGTTTGAACCAAAATAAAGCGCAAATATTTTGAAGCTAAAAAAAACTGCCGGTTTTGTTCGATTTCCCTCTCACTGACTGACTCGTGCCGGAGGCTCCGACCCCTCGCGCTTCACCGCCGCCTCGCGCCGCCCCACACGCGCGTACCATCGGCCTCTCCTCCCCAATCCCGCCACCAGGCTCCACCCCCCCACCACCAGGCTCCACCCCCCCGCCACCAGGCTCCACCCCCCCACCACCAGGCTCCACCCCCCGCCACCAGGCTCCACCCCCCACCACCAGGCTCCACCCCGCCACCAGGCTCCACCCCCCCCACCAGGCTCCACCCCCCCGCCACCAGGCTCCACCCCCCGCCACCAGACTCCACCCCCCCACCACCAGGCTCCACCCCCCCGCCACCAGGCTCCACCCCCCCGCCACCAGGCTCCACCCCCCCACCACCAGGCTCCACCCCCCCACCACCAGGCTCCACCCCCCCCCACCAGGCTCCACCCCCCCGCCACCAGGCTCCACCCCCCGCCACCAGGCTCCACCCCCCCGCCACCAGGCTCCACCCCCCGCCACCAGGCTCCACCCCCCGCCACCAGGCTCCACCCCCCCCCCCCAGGCTCCACCCCCCACCACCAGGCTCCACCCCCCCGCCACCAGGCTCCACCCCCCCCGCCACCAGGCTCCACCCCCCGCCACCAGGCTCCACCCCCCCACCACCAGGCTCCACCCCCCGCCACCAGGCTCCACCCCCCGCCACCAGGCTCCACCCCCCCGCCACCAGGCTCCACCCCCCGCCACCAGGCTCCACCCCCGGCCACCAGGCTCCACCCCCCCGCCACCAGGCTCCACCCCCCGCCACCAGGCTCCACCCCCCGCCACCAGGCTCCACCCCCCCCCCCCCGTCACCAGGCTCCACCACCGCGCCACCAGGCTCCACCCCCCCGCCACCAGGCTCCACCCCCACCACCAGGCTCCACCCCCCCGCCACCAGGCTCCACCCCCCCACCACCAGGCTCCACCCCCCCGCCACCAGGCTCCACCCCCCGCCACCAGGCTCCACCCCCCGCCACCAGGCTCCACCCCCCCCCCCCCCGTCACCAGGCTCCACCACCGCGCCACCAGGCTCCACCCCCCGCCACCAGGCTCCACCCCCCGCCACCAGGCTCCACCCCCCGCCACCAGACTCCACCCCCCACCACCAGGCTCCACCCCCCCGCCACCAGGCTCCACCCCCCCGCCACCAGGCTCCACCCCCCCACCACCAGGCTCCACCCCCCGCCACCAGGCTCCACACCCCCGCCACCAGGCTCCACCCCCCCACCACCAGGCTCCACCCCCCGCCACCAGGCTCCACCCCCCCACCACCAGGCTCCACCCCCCGCCACCAGGCTCCACCCCCCCGCCACCAGGCTCCACCCCCCGCCACCAGGCTCCACCCCCCGCCACCAGGCTCCACCCCCCCGCCACCAGGCTCCACCCCCCACCACCAGGCTCCACACCCCCGCCACCAGGCTCCACCCCCCACCACCAGGCTCCACACCCCCGCCACCAGGCTCCACCCCCCACCACCAGGCTCCACCCCCCGCCACCAGGCTCCACCCCCCACCACCAGGCTCCACCCCCCGCCACCAGGCTCCACCCCCCGCCACCAGGCTCCACCCCCCCCCGTCACCAGGCTCCACCACCGCGCCACCAGGCTCCACCCCCCGCCACCAGGCTCCACCCCCGCCACCAGGCTCCACCCCCCCGCCACCAGGCTCCACCCCCCGCCACCAGGCTCCACCCCCCCGCCACCAGGCTCCACTCCCCACCACCAGGCTCCACCCCCCCGCCACCAGGCTCCACCCCCCCACCACCAGGCTCCACCCCCGCCACCAGGCTCCACCCCCCGCCACCAGGCTCCACCCCCCCCGTCACCAGGCTCCACCACCGCGCCACCAGGCTCCACCCCCCCCCGCCACCAGGCTCCACCCCCGCCACCAGGCTCCACCCCCCGCCACCAGGCTCCACCCCCCCACCCCAGGCTCCACCCCCCCCCCCCAGGCTCCACCCCCCGCCACCAGGCTCCACCCCCCCGCCACCAGGCTCCACCCCCCGCCACCAGGCTCCACCCCCCCCCACCAGGCTCCACCCCCTACCACCAGGCTCCACCCCCCCCCCCCAGGCTCCACCCCCGCCACCAGGCTCCACCCCCACCACCAGGCTCCACCCCCGCCACCAGGCTCCACCCCCCTACCACCAGGCTCCACCCCCCGCCACCAGGGTTACTACCCATCTCAGCCCTGCTATCACTGATTGACTCAGACTGTCTAATGTCCCACCCCTTCACTCCAGGTCCTTCCGTCCTCTCTCCTGCAATGTCTGCTCCACCCCAGACCTTCCACCGCTCGCCTTTCATTCAAGGCTCCTGGAGCCTGAAAGACATAGCAATGAGAAGAGATGGATTTCCACGTTTGGTTCCTCAGGTAAACTGCACAACCTTGTGACTGAAGAGAAGGAAAGGAGCACATGGTTGGAAATGTCATTGGAGGAGATGGTTAGACCGCATTTATTACATATTATATTTTTCTGACAAATATTAGGTAGAGCTGGAATGCACTGAAGGGTCATTTTTCATTGAATTTTATTTTGAGATCAGATATACTAAATTCCTCTTATGTTTTCTTTGCAGCAAGAATTCATTTCCTGAATTGTACTCGCATTTTCTATATATTTATTGCAATTAAAACATTCCATATAATTACTAATGCCGCATGGAATGTCAAAACCGTTAAATATTCTGACATTTCCCAATGTTTGAGTGATTAGAATGCCAACATAACTGAAAGGAATAGATAATGCAGACCGTGATAAGCTGTTTTACCTTATACTAAACAGAAAAACCAGAGGACATGGCCTGCAATTGAAAGGGGGTAAATTCAGAACAAATCTGTGGAAACACTACTTCAGTGAGCGATGTTTTTTCCTCTCGCCCCCACCCAGTCACCTGTGGGGTATCCCAAGGCTCCATCCTTGACCCCATTCTTTTCCTCATCTACATGCTCCCTCTCAGCGATGTCATCCGCAGCATAGGATCAACTTCTACATTTATGCGGATAATACCCAAATATACATCTCCTCCTCCAGCTGTGACTCCCAGTCCTCCAATGTCCAACTGAACGTCAGCAAGACCGAGGCCCTCCTGATTGGCTCGTGCCAGCACCTCCACACCTCTGGCGCTGGCAACATCAGCAGCTGCACACTCAACCTCACTAAGCCAACAACAACAACAAGGTTACATTTGTATAGCACCTTTCACGTAGGGAGGACGTCCCAAGGTACTGGACAGTGTATAGCATTTCAGACCCGATCTGGGGTCAGGGGGGTAGAAGGGAGGGGAGGGGAAGGGTGGCCGATGGCATGGGTTTTGATGCAGGACTTCAAGGAGGCTAAGGAGGGGGTGAGGCGGAGTGATTGGGGGATGGAATTCGAGAGGTTGGGGGCAGAGTGGCTGAAGGCTCTCCCACCAATGGTGGGGCGGGTGGGTCGGGGGACGTGGAGCAGGCCAGAGCCGGCTGAGCGGAGGGAGCGGGCGGGTTGGCAGGTGGTAAGGTTGGGCGAGGCCATGGAGGGCTTTGTAGGTGAGGACTAGGATCTTGAACTGGATCCTCTGAAGGATAGGGAGCCAATGGAGTCGGGCGGGAATGGGGGAGATGGGGTCACGGAGTTTGGTGCGGGAGAGGACATGGGCTGCAGAGTTCTCGATTATCTGCAGCCTGTGGAGGGAGGAGTTGGGAAGGCCGACAAGCAGGGCGTTTGCATAGTCAAGCCTGGAGGTGATGAAGACATGAACAAGAGTTTCAGCGGCCTGAGGGGTGAGGTAGTGGTGGAGTCGGGCGATGTTACGGAGGTGAGGGAAGGCAGAGCGGGTCATGGCTTGGATGTGGGGAAGAGAAGACAGTTGAGGGTCGAACAAGACACCGAGATTCCTGACTGGCTTGGTGAGTTGAAGTGTGCAATCATGGAGGTTGAGAGAGATAGGAATCGAACCAGGCAAGGGCAGGTCCGCGAAGATTAAGTAAAGAGGAGAGGCGGTGTATGAGGATGAAGTAGTCGACAGTGTTGAAGGCAGCAGAGGGGTCGAGGAGGATTAGGAGGCAGAGGGAGCCCTGATCACAGATGTTCAGAAGGGCATTAGTGACTTTGACCAGGGTTGTTTCCGTGCTGTGGGCAGCGCGGAAGCCGGATTGGAGGGGTTCAAAGAGGGAATGGCGAGAAAGAAAGGAGCGGAGCTGGGACGTGATGACTTGTTCGAGGACCTTGGAGAGGAATGGGAGGTTAGAGATGGGGCGGTAGCTGGAAAGGAGGGATGGGTCCAAGGAAGGTTTTTTCGGGATGGGTGTGACGACGGCTGTTTTTAGGGGGGTGGGAACTGAACCAGTGGACAAGGAGAGGTTGATGACATCGGACAGGAGAGGGGTCAGAAGGTGGAGCTGGGAGATGAGGTGAAAGGAACATAATAAGCCAGTCAGGAACCTGGGTGTTTTGTTTGACCCCGAACTGTCCTTTCTCCCCCACATCAGCCACCTCTGCAACATTGCCAGACTCTGCCACTGCCTCACCCCTCAGGCTGCCGAAACCCTCACCCACACATTCATCACATCAAGGCTCGATTATGGAAACTCCCTCCTCATCAACTTGCCAATTCTTCCCTTCACAAGCTGCAGATCATTCAAAACTCTGCAGCTCGTGTACTCTTGAGCATCAGGCTCTGTGACCCCATCACTCCCACACTTGCCCAACTCCACTGGCTCCCCATCCCTCAGAGGATCGAATTCAAGATCCTCGTCCTCACTTTCAAGGCCATCCATGGCCTTGCCCCCTCCTACCTCTCTGACCTGCTGACTCCCTACCAACCTGCCGCTCCCTCTGTTCAGGC